AATTTTCAAGCCTATAGAAAATAATTCCCTGCTTCAGATCTGAATCCTTCCCAAACTGACTATATCATTATTCTAAAAATAACATCACCGACTCTCAACCGATCCCCAAAAATTATAAAAATGGCGTTTTTTTGGGTCACACTCCTCATTGTTTAACAAAGATATTATTTTCTTTTAAATACATTGTAGATGGTCATTATATTTATATTGAGAGTTCACTTCAACGCTACGGAGAAAAAGCCAGACTAATCAGCCCAGTGCAGCTATCTGGAGGATTTTGCCTTATTTTCTGGTACAGTATGTTTGGGACAGGCATTGGGAGTTTAAATGTTTACATGAAGTCAGACACAGAAATGCCTCTCTTTTCTCAAAGTAATAGTTCGGACAACAATAAGTGGATAAAAGCTGTTGTGAGCAAAGATTCGCCTACCGATTATCAGGTAATTGATTTAATATCAAATTATCTATAACCTTACTTGTTATAATTATATTTCAATATTCAAATTTTACTGAAAGAAATGATAGAATGATGAAACAGATATATCTTATCATTTTCTAAAATGGATGCTAAAAGAGGAAACCAGATTAAATAATTCTTTTATTCTTGGACGATTGTTTTTAATGTACATGAATATGAATTAAGGCTTGAATATAAAAAGTAATTTTTTACTTAGCGTTTTTTAAATGAACATCTTATACTGAATATTTTCTAATACTATTGAAGTTATGGGAAGCTGTAAAACTTTTAAAACAAATTAAAGTAAATTTGTTTTGAGACAGATTATATTTGATGGAACTGTTGGCAACAATGTCAAGGGAGATATTGCTATTGATGATATCACACTAACGACTGGGTTTTGTTCTCCAGGTAAGGAAATTAACTAAATTGTCATTGCAATGAATTTACGACTTTTGACTCCATAGTGGTATATACAAGGAACATATTTTGGCTAGGTTTTGTTTAAGTTTATTTGACAATAAAGTGTTTTATTTTAGAAAATGAAAAAAAATAATTATATAGAGGATATTTGTTTGTTTGCGTGTAAGATGAAATTTTATTTCATCGAGTGGGCTTTAAAAACAGTATTCTCACGAGATGAAATAAAATTACATCTTACACAACAAACAAACAAATTTTCTTTTTATTTTATGCTTAAAAAGATGTTAAAACGAAATTTTGATAATATTAACGTTAATATTAAAATTTGTTTTCCCCACTGAGAGCCCTATTTAGTCGGAATTTCTCATTAAATACAAGAAGTCTTGAGCTGAAAAATAAGTTCGATAATCAACGTTAAATGACGGTGATATTATTCATTTTATTAAAAAAATATGAATGATCGCTTGTTTTTATAATAAAACAGACAATTCTTTCCAACCACCCATCCATACTTACTGCGAGTTTATATTAGACCTGGCTTTGTTAAATGTAAGCGGCAGCCATTTTTTAAAGTTGTGTATTTCACGGGAGGAAATAATTGTGTTTTATTCGGAGGGATATCTTTTGGATTTGTTAGTCATACACCTTTTTAAAAGAAAGAAAACTTATTTGAAGATTGTAACAGACAAAAATTAAGTGTTGACAGATGTGAAAACATTCTAAAATCAGCTAGGAAAATGGAAAACTTGGAACTGTTGGAAGTTGGCTCAGGAACGCTGGGTTGTTTACTTATTCTTCGAGCTGATGGCTGTCATTGCTTTTCAATTTTTCATAAAGCACACGGCAGTTATTGCTCGTATGATACTTTAATATGCCCAAATCTTACCAAGAGCAGTTTTGCATGTGGAATAAGGAATGTATTTTTCAGACTGTAAAAATGAAAAAAAAATTAGAGACGAAATTAAATGATAGGAATTTGAATGAATAGAAGTAAGTTTTCTTCTTTTTATTACATTTGACATTTAAGTTATTTATCAATTTTAGATTTGCGTTTTCTTTAAACAGTCTGTCAGAATTGTCAGCAAAAATAAAATTAAGGTACCACATGGGGAAAATCTTAAAAAAATAGTTTCGTCATTGAAAAGTGTGAAATTATATTTTGATAATTTTCACTGTGAAATTATCAAATATAATTTTCACGGATAAATCAGTAATCCACTGAAAAGCATAAAATAAATAAATGTCATTTCAAGGAAACGTATAATGTTTGCACTAAAACGTTTTGGTGAATAATTTTCTGCGGAAAATATTGACATATGTAATTATAGCAAACAAAATATTTATAGTTTAAAATGATTGCAGCCAATAATTATAGTTATATAATGCAAAAGAATTTTTGTAGTATTTGTAGTATTTTCTTTATGTTGTAGCATGCACCTTTGATGATGGACTCTGTAATTGGAGACAAGATCAGAGTGATGGCTTTGATTGGACCAGAGAGACAGGTCAAACAAATACTCCTCTAACAGGGCCGCCATCAGATCATAATACAGAAAACAGTTAGTATTTAAAAATAACTGGATATTTGAAGTTAAGAATTAATAAAGTATCAATCTTAATGCAAATTAACAAATAATAACCTTGATTTTGTACACTTGTTTGAAGTTGACCCTGAATTTCGCCAACGTTTAAATATAAATATTTTGAACAAGGAACACTCAACTGTGCGTGTACCGATATTAACAATTGAATTTGATACCACGTAAATAATAAAGAAAATGTATACCCTCAAGAACGCGTTTAATGTCAAATATCAAATGTTGAATGCTCAGGTCATAGACGATAAAAGTAAGTATAAGATATCATTAAGTTACATCGACTTAATCAAATTCAAAACTTAAAAATGATAATGACAGACAGACAGACAGACAGATAATTTATTTAAGTCTCACCTGTACATATATAACATATTAAATACAATAAAATAGATAAAATGCAAGTAATGTACAAAACCACTCTAAAAGAGTTATGAGAGACTAAGAGATAATATTGCATATCACATTACCATATAAAATAAACATATTCTCATTCTTGGAAATTAAAACAAACCTTAAACGACTCGTATAAACATTAAATTAAGACATTATTAATAAAATACTTATTTAACATGTCAAACCGTGAAAAAAGATATATACATATTAAAACTTATAAACTCATTTTTAAAATATAACGCAAATATCACATGCAATTGTACAACTTTTTACGTCTTTCTTGTAAAATATTAGAGCAGGCTCTGGCCGTATATTTAACAATATCGGCATTTGACAATAGATAGACAAACTGATCTGACTCACTATACAATGGAAAATCTTGATTCTGTTCAGTGACTTTTCTATATAACTCTTGTCTAATTGTGTCATATAAAGAACAATGGATTAATACATGAATCTCATCTTCAATACATGTGTTGCAGTGAAAACATAGTCTTTGATCAATTGGTAAGCTATTATAGCGACCAGTCTCTATTTTGAGAGGGGCTACCCCAGTTCTAAATTTCGCCAAAGCACTTCTGTGACTTCTTGATAAAATTTCACTTTTAATATATGTTTCTGTGTTATATTCACTTTTAAATGTTCTGTAGTGTCTTAATTTATTACCTCTATTTTTGCCACTAACTCCCGTATCTGAGTTTATACATCTTTGCCAGTTAGCTTTAAATTCATTAAACAAAAACGATTGTATTTCGTTATTAATTTGTTTTCTTGTTGCAACTGGATAGATTTTATTGGGTTTTAATGTATTTAGCCCTGCGCGCGTTACAAGTTTTTCAAGACTAAAACACCAGTTTTTCATACGGGCTCTTGAACTAAATGACCACTGGAAAATAATTATTATGGTTGTTAAGTCTACTTTTGTCCATAGCATTTAGCCGGAACCAGTGGCCAATAACTGACTTCCATTGACGTATCTGTGGTGGTATCCAGCCCATATCTCCCGTCACCGCTGCATTAGACGTGTACTTGCCCACTCCTAGGTAAAATCTGCATGCCCGATGATGTACAGCGTTAATTGAAGAGAACTCTCTGGTTGCCCCATACCGCGGCACCATAACTAATTACGGGCCACACCAATACTGTCATAAAGTTTGGTGAACACATTTATATGGCATTCCTCCCATCACTTTGGAATTTGCTTATTAGTAATCCAAGCGATCGAGTGGCAGCGTCGGCTACATACTTAGCTATTTGTGAGTAGATCCATTGTTTCATTTAAACATCAAGCCGAGGTATTTGTATCGGTCAACGTAGTCTTTTAAGATATTATTTATTTTTGAACGTAAAGTTACTTCTTATTACTGTATTTCTACGGAAATGCACCACCTTTGTTTTATCAATATTCACCGTCATGTTGTTTCGATTACACCACGCCCCAGGCAGTCTATCATTACTTGAAGTTGCTCTTCGTTTTCGCTATGAGTGCTAAGTCGTCAGCATAGAGGAGGTGGCAAATAGTTCGTCCATCTATATTTATACCAATGTTCAATTCTTCTAGTTGTTTACTAAGGTCATCAATGTAAATGTTAAATGCTGTCGTGGAAAGCAGACACCCTTGCTTCAAGCCAATGTCTACTTGGAACCATTCAGTTGTGTAATTATTAATTTTCACTCCGCACATCGCACATCCTTGTATAAAGATTTGATTGCAAGTAACATGTTACCTTTAAAACCGAGTTTCTGCATTTTAATGCCAAAGGGTTTGTCTCTCTATCCTGTCATAGGCTTTGCTGAAATCGACAAGCACACTAAAGTCGACTGTTTATGTTTTTTCCTGTTTTCAATGATATCGCGTCAGTGTCGATAAGTGGTCAACGGTGCTTCTATTTCGTCGAAATCCGTTTTGTGAGTCCGAGACTATTTCATTATCCTCACACCACTTACTAAACGTGCATTTAGTACGGAACAGTAAGCTTTGTATACAGCAGAAGTTACAGTTATCCCTCTATAATTTTCAGGATCAGTTTTATCAGCACTTGGATTTTTTAACACTGGTGTAATTATTCCGTCACTCCAAACTTTAGGTATCTTTCCTGTGGCGAAACAAACACAAAATAGTTTATGTAAATAGTCGATGCATGTGAGGGATTGAATAGCTTCCGCCGGGACCTCATCATTGCCCATTGCCTTATTCAAATTAAGAGATTTGACCGCTTTCTCTACTTCATTTATTGATATGCCTTCATTGAGTATATCACTATTAGACGTGCCTGTATTTGACGCATCTATATTATCCGTTTGCTCCATTATATCATAATTGTTTGTAAATAGTGACTTAAAAGCATCTTTCCAATTGTCAAGAACTTTCTTTTGTGATGTCGTAATGCTTCCGTCTGCTAGCGTTGTTTCCATTGGGATTTCATTTGTTCTCTCCTTTCCAACTCCTATTTTCCCGATGGTTTTCCAGAATTCACCAGGCTGTTTATTATCACATGATTCAAGTAATTGCACTTGTGTTTTTCGCCAATGTTCACGCTTTCGTTTCTAAGCAGTCTTATCAAAAAGGTTTCTAGCTATCTTAAATTCAAATTTGAATTGTTGTTTCATATGTCTGGCGTTACTATCGCATTTATTCCATGCCTTTTCCTTTTTACACATATCTTGCCATAATTCCGAAAGATTAGTATTCCACCAAGGTTTTTGTAATCTTCTTTTTTCTATTATTTCCCTTTGAACTGTCGTCAATTGTTTTTGGGGCTTAAATATTTGTTCATTTGGGTTTTCAATATTTCCACAAAATCTCCGTAGGATTCATCAATGCACGATTGCTCATTTTGGTTGCTTTCCGAGAATTCGTATCTTTTGTTTTAATTGACAATGAATTTCTTCTTCATTCATAAAATATCTGGAATATCATTTCGTTTATATCGTATATAGGTCTTTTGTTCAGCCTTTAATTCACTGCTTGTGTTATTGTCTCTATTTCTTTCATTCAACATAATATTCCATATTAGTACTGAGTGGTCTGGAATTTTTATATTCTCTAATGTTTCTACACCAAGTGCCTCGTTCACAAGTTCAGGAGCTCGCTTAACTTCGAATTCTATAAACTTCTCTAACTGTTCGTAAGGCACAAGACAATAATCAACCACCGAGCTGCCCTTGGATGAAATGCTTGTGAAGTCATTGTTTTTTGTGTGTCCGCCCATTCAATATACAAAGGTTTGCACTTAGAAGAAAGTCAAATGAATGTGTCACTATATTGGCTTGTAGTAAAGTCTATTTACATCTCTGGGTGGTACCAGATCTACGCCGGGAATGTAGTCATTCTTTTCACCAACACGAATATTGAAGTCACCAACAATGGTTTATTAATCCTGCACTTTGATATTCATATACATGGGATAACAATGTGTCAAAATAGTCATTAATGTTCAGGGCTCTTGTGGAATTGGAAGGCGGAAGGTAACAAACGCATATCCTAAGGTTTTCATGAGTCTGTTTATCATCGAGGCTTAGCCACATTATTCCCTCGTGTTCTGCGTTAAATATTTCGATATCGAATTGTTCAAGCAAAACGAGTTTTGACTAGGATACCAACACCACCACTCCCCTTTGGTGCATTTTTTATGTAGACCGCTTCTGTTTTTTCCGAACCATTTTATATTCATCTATATTTAAGTTTCTATCTTTTTGTAAGTGCGTTTCTGATATGCATATAATGTCGAGATCTAAAATATTCTATGCAATGTTTTTCTCAGAGTATAGTTTTCAGAATCAGTATCTTTAGTAAAACCCATTCGGGTTCCAGAACCCGCACCTGACCTAGTAGTTACTATAGCCATTTGAGTATTCGATCCTGTCGTGATATTTATCGTAACGTTCGTATCTATCGTATCGGTCTGGCCGACTCCTTTCATCGTCCCGTGATCTGTCACGTGATCTTTCATAGCCATTGTCGCGATACTGGTTTTGATAACGTTGTTGGTGGTGCGTATTGTTTCCGCGGAAACCCGCTTTCCTGTCGTAAATATTATATCTGTTGTTTGAGTATCGCCCATGATCGCTATTGTCCGAGTATCTCCGCGGTAAGAGACGATTTCCACGGATCATAACTTTATCATTTCCGATAACTCCGGCGATAGTTTTTAAATTCGAAATAGTGTTTCTCTCCGATTTCGGCCTGTCATGTTCAATATAAACGTTTTTTGTAAGTTCTTGTGTTTCTCAAGTTCGATTTGGATTTCATAATTTCATTTTTATCTTCCTTTGTTTTGCATTTAGCAACCACTACTCCGATTTCACCGTCTCTCCTTGGTTGTTTTCTTTCTGAAGATTCAACTTTCATTCCATATTTCAAAATGTCATTCACTTTGCACGTCAGTACTTTCATTTGTTTCCTGCAGATTTTTAATAACAATGTTTCTTTCCTTACTGATCTTGGCAATGTTTCAATTGACGTCGAAGAGATGTCTCCGTTTCCAGATTTTGTCAATATTTCTTGGACATTTCATTCATTTCTTTTCTCATTTCATTTCTTATTGCCTTTATCTCATCATTAAAATCTTTCTTTACTTTATCAATTGCAGTTTGATTCTTTTTCAACTTGTTCTTTCACCTTTGTTTCCATGGTTGACTCAAAGGCTGTGAATATGCGATGATAGCACACTAATACTTGTTGTAATGGATTTCATTTCTTCAGCAAGGCGGTTTATAGCCTTTACTACACACTCGTTGTCATTCATGAATTTTTCATTCTCTTTATCTTTTACATTTTCATCTCCCGACTTTTCACGTCCACGTTTTCTACCTTTTTTCTTGTCAGAATCCTTTATATTATCATTTTTCATTTTTGCTTTTTCATGGGCCTTTTCGCCCTTTCCTGATTTTACTGACTTTAATGTACTCCTTCCGGTTCGACGTTTCTTGGCGTTTGGAAGGGTCGGTGATCCCGAGATAAGCGACGGTGATTGAGGTGTTGAATTCTGTGAGCATTCCGGCAGTTCGCTTTCCATTGTGTCCATAGTAGCGTCCACAGAATTGTCACTCGCAATAATCGTAGTGTTTTCCTGTGGTGTAAATAAAGCATTCGGTATTATTACATCATGCGTTGGTGGCTGTGTAAGATCCGTGCTGTTACCGCTGTTTTCATTAATATCGGGTGTGAAGTTTTGAGTAATGTCACTTTGGCTAGCCATACTTATCAGCGCGTCAGTCATGCGTGACGAATTTTCGGGCAGCGATTTTCTTCCCAATAATCCTTTCTTCTCAAGTCACAAAAATAATTGTGTAATGTTGAAATTATAAACATCCGCAGATGCCGTAAATTATAAACCATTGTGGTGTGGTTTCTGATCATTTTTACTTTTTAATTTCAGATGGTTATTACATATATGTTGAAACAAGTTACCCGCGTGAATATGGAGACAAAGCAAGACTAATCAGTCCAGTGCAGGGCAGTGGTCTTCATTGCTGGACATTTTGGTACAGTATGTTTGGAAGACATATCAACAAACTCTCTGTATACATTAAAACAAAATTTTGTACGGAAATACTTATCTTTTCAAAGGAGAATGGAACGAAAATAGCGGACTGGATGAAAGCTGACATTAGCCTACAAACATTTTCAGAATACGAGGTATTCATTAATTTTCCGTTGTTGGCATTCTTACCATTATTTTACATATTTTGTTTCTATTATATACGTAGCTCTTGCTATCACTTATACGATTTGTTAAATGTGAGAGTCATTAATATTATTTGCTGTCGAAGTGTTAAAAACAACTGATTAATAGGTATTATAACAACAATAGTTCTTGTTACTTCTAAACAGACCAAAACCATTACAGTTCTTTATTTCTGGTAAATTTATTGTGTTGCACAACAGGAAGAAAAAGCCGACATTTCAGATTTTGCCGTATTGGGCAACCGCTTTATCCTATATTTGTTTTGGAATTAAACATAAGATTTTTGTTTCTTCCGTATGATTACAGATTATCATTGAAGGAATTCGTGGGAATGGTCCTGAAGGAGATATTGCAGTTGATGACATTACAATGACAAATGATACATGTAAAACAGGTACAAAATAATGTTGTTTAGAGG